TCTACGCTTTCAAGTTCGAGCTCTAAGTGAGAGCGAAGCACGCTTCAAGGGTAATGATTATTTCTCTCTCTTCTTGTTAATCATGTGACTATGGTTTTAATACATGCTTAGTTACGTTAATTTGTGTGCGGATTTTGGGTGCGTTTCCTTCCATGTGGTGTTGGACATCAAGAAACCCAACATACTCTTCAACCCTAATCCATCCATTCGAAGTCCTTGGAGATACAAAGAAGAAAGAAGGTCCATAAACATATAAAACGGAGATCTAAGCAAGTAAAGAAGAACGGTTAGTTTCTTGAGCAATTAGATAAATCACTTTTCTTTTCTTGTTTAAATAATTTTAATCAATTAATTTGTGTTGTTTGATCACTTTAAACAAACTTTTAATTAATTAATTTCACATAGTATCTTGCGTTAATTAAAGATTAGAATTTGAATAATTAATTGATTGTTTTATCACCTAAGCCTAGGCAAATATTGTTTATTTCTTGCACTTTTAATGAATTTGAATAACAAAGAATAACGACATTTGTTGCAATGTAATCTTTATGTTATCAATGCTTGTAAATAAAATCAACTAGCTTAGTTTTAGGCATCACGTTGCATATATTGTTTGGTGATGAAATTGTGAAAAAGGAAGAGCTAGTAGAGGCCGCACTTGGGCTAGGATAGCAATTCCCCCCAAAAGGGAATGTTATTTTTAGTACCCTCGCTCCCGAACTCCTTTCTGGTACAAGTAGACCAATTTGGGCATGGGTAAACTTATGATTCATGCTAAATATCCCTTGAACTGTACTTGGGAGAAAGGTATGAATTAAAACTCATTGGCGAATCCTTATTAGTTTCTTATAAAAAAGCGTAATGATAGAATCAATTATAATTCAAGGTCCCCCAAACAGTCAAAAATTCAAATCTTAGCACCAAGGCATCATGCCTCGATTTAGGGGCATGCATTGGGATTTTTATCAAAAAAATTTGTGTGACTCTTAGTTAAATTCTAAATTAAATTTTAGAACCAACATTTTGAGCATTTTTGAATTTAAACAAGTCTAACCTAATTAATCCAATTTTTGTTGCACAAACAAAAATCAATTTAAGAACTATTGTTTTAATAATTTTGGCTCAAGTTGATACAATAAAAATGACGGCTTGTCTCATAATTAATTTAACCAAAAATTAAAATTAATAATGAGATTTGACAAAATTAGTTGAATAAATAATCAATCATCCAATGAAAATAATTTATCGAACAATTACTCATGCACATTTGAATATTACACCTTCCAATATGAAGAATAATATTTTTAGCACAAGTATGAGCATTCATGATTTTAATCAACTTCCAAAATGATTAAAACTCAAAATTTGTTCACTTTGGATTATAGCAAGTTAAGATTCAACCATTTAAACCATTTAAGATTAAAGGTAAAATTGGCCGCAACACCCTGAAGTATGGCTTAGGTGCACTGAGCACCCTAAACTTTGCGTAGTAGCCAAAACACCACTAACTATGGTGTTAGGTGCAATGCATGCCATAGATGAAAATTCTCGGTAACTTATTTCAGCGGGATGAGGTGAATATTCACTCTCTAGAAAAGTTATGTAGTCTTCCACCCACTTAGCACGCATGGATTCACCTCCTCCTATGAAATAAGAGGCCGAAAATTTTCATTTAAGGCACGCGTCGCATCTAGCACCATAGATGGTGTTGTTTTGGTTACTCTGCATAGTTCAGGGTGCTTATTTCACCTAAGCCATACTTCAAGGTGTTGCGGCTAATTTTAAATCTTTAACTATTTTAAGGGTTTAAAAATCATTTTCAACATAAACTTACACATTAAAAGCAATCTAATTGCAAGAATGAATAATTCCAAGTTTATGTAAAATTAAGAGCTATCCAAATTAGGCAACCAATTTACATCATAAACATGCTTAATACAGAATGAAATTGTAGAACATTAATGGTATAATCAAACACATAATCCAACAATTGCATGTTATAATTAATCAGAAAACCACTTTCCGGACAGATTGTGGCTTCTTGAAGGCCATTTTTAAACACTATGTGGGTAAAGGTTGATTTAGAACATCGATTCCACCCGAAATTCACTACTTTTGAGTAAAAATCTAGGTTCGTAGTAAAAACTTAGCAATACTACGATTTTAACCCAATTAAAAACGGGGTCCTAATCAAATTAGGTAGCTAATCTAGAAATTGAAATCCATTTTAAATCACCTCAATTAATTTTTAGTTGTAAAAATTAAATGGAAGAGGCTTTTATACCGCTGTTGGGTTTTGCGGAGTCCGACACTGCACGGAAACAAAACCCGCAAAGGATTGCATGCATAATTAATACAACTAAACAACCTAACATGCAATTATTATAAGCAATAAACACATAAAGAAGGAGAGAGAGAAAGTAAGGAAAAGACTTTCTTACCCTTGAAGCGTGCTTTTCACGAACCCCGAGCACGAACACGAAAAGCTCTAGACCCGTAAGTGCAAATCCTCCTTCTTTGCACACCCACGCACCCAAACGGGTCCCTACCTCGTAGCTTAAACGAGGCTAGGCCCAAAGAAAACTAGAGTATTACGAACTTAAAGGCTTTCTCGCGCTTTTGGGAGATACCTTATTGAGTTCAACTCAAGTGAATAATCCCAACTCCCAAGGTTGGTATTTATAGGCAAACTCTCCTAAAAACTTTAATCATCTTTCCATGTGGGAGAAGTGATAAGTGAGAGAAAGTAAGCAATTAATTTAATTCTAAATTAAATTAAGTAGCATAAACAATAAGCAAATGACAAGTGGCAATGCAAGGGAGGGGTTAGGTAAGGACCACAAACCCTCCCCTTGGGGAGCAAGCAAAACCGTCACCTCACCCTAAGTCAACACAGGGATGACCACCCTCAAGCCTTGAGCTCTAAGGCATGCCTAGCTGGCGGCCTTGCCCTTCACTAGGTCTGCTAGCACGCTGCAAGCCCACGCGAGCTGCTGGGCGCTAGCGTGCCGCTGTTAGGCCTGCTCGCATGCTTGTGGGTTGGTGCTAGCGCTGCTACCATTGGCCTGCTCGCATGCTTGCGGGCTGATGCTAGCGCTACTAACTCACCTAGCACAACCATGCTTGCGAGGCCATGCGCTGCTAGGTAGCTAGCTAGGTCGGTCAGCATGCTCGGCCAGCGCACATGCGTGGCTCCTGGGCTTGCGGTCGAGCTAGTGCATGGCTAGCAGCCTTGCTAGCTTATGTTGCCTAGTCCTCGATTGGCTAGGCTAATCAGAGGCTAGGTCTTTGCGCAATGACTTATCATTTGACTTATATTCTCGTCTTCTCGATTTGTTGAATCGTCTTGACGTTTGACACTCGGCTTCGACGCTCTAAGCTCAGAATCCGACGTCTGAGTTCGTAAAAACTCTATCGACTCATTTAATCCTTCGGGTTAATTCATCGCCTTTGTTCGGTTACATGATTAGGTGTGACCCTAAGGGTTCAGTAAAGAGCAAGCGGTAATATTAATTATACATTAATATTACTGATCGGAAGCGGCCTCTATCTAGGCATTTCGATCACTTGACCTCACTGAATAATTAGCTTTCCTAATTAATTCTGAACCCTATATCGGAATAATACACTTGTTCGAAGGACACCATTCCTTTTAACATATAACATGACTTTTAAAGTATGGGCGTAATTTAATTGAAGCAGTAACTAAGGCTAAAATGATTTTTTCTAGATAAGCGTTCCTGGTTTCTACACTAAGTAAGGTTTTACTTACGTAATAGATTAAAAATTGCTCCTTGTCTTCTTCTCTGGTGAGGACGGAACTGATTGTTCCTTTTGATAGTGCTAGGTATAGTTGAAGGGGCTCTCCTTCTTTAGGCTAGGAAAGCACCAACAGATTTGCTAGGTACTCCTTTAGCTTCTAGAATGCATCCTCGTGTTCTTGTTCCCATTTGAATTCCTTATTTTTCTTCAGCACGTTATAGAACACTTTGTTCTTATCTGATGACTTGGAGATGAACCAATTTAGTCTTGCTATTCTTCCAGTAAGGCTTTGTATATCCTTCTTGGATTTTGGTCGTTCTAAGTAGAGTATGGCTTTGACTTGTTTTGGGCTGGCTTCTATTCCTTGCTGCATTACCATGTAACCTAAAAACTTGCCTGAATGGACTCCGAATGTACACTTTGTGGGATTTAACTTCATGCCGTACTACTTCAAGATGGAAAAGGCCTCTTTGAGATCTTTGACGTATCTGTGGCTTTCTTGGATTTCACCACCATGTCGTCTATGTATACTTCCATTATATTCCCTATATGCTTTTCGAACATTTTATTGACCAATCTTTGGTATGTTGCTCCGGCGTTCTTTAGTCCAAAGGGCATTACCTTGTAGCAGTAGATTCCTTGGCTGGTTATGAATGTTGTCTTTTCTTGGTCGCCTTGTGCATGAGGATCTAGTTATACCCGTTGTATGCATCCATGAAGGATAGCAACTGGTGTCCTGCTATTGCGTCTACCATGGCATCTATATGTGGGAGTGGGAATGGATCTTTTGGGCAGGCCTTGTTGATGTCTGTGAAATCAATGCATATTCTCCCTTTTCCAATCTTCTTTCTTACTACTACCACATTGGCTAGCCATTACGGGTACTTAACCTCTCTAATTTTTCCAATTTTGAGCAAGTTGTGAACTTCTTCATTAATCACTTTGTTCCTTTTTGGAGTTAACTTTCTTCTATTCTGCTTCACTAGTGTGTGTTTTAGGTCCAAATTCAATTTGTGTTTAATCACGACCAGTGAGATTCCTTTCATGTCTTCGTGTGTCCATGCGAATGCATCTTTCTCTGCCTCCAAGAATTCTAGGACTTGCTTGCTTAGATCCTTGCTCAACACTACTCCTATTCTTACTTTCTGATCAGGGTGATCTGGATTCAGCTGGACCTCAACTACTTCTTGCTCTTCTACTATGCTGATCTTTTCTTGGCCCAGTTGAATCTCTGATTGCTATGCTGATTCTTTTTCTGCAGATATTGCTTTCAAGGCTATCTTGTAGCATTCTTTGGCTTCTTTCGGGTCCCCCTTGATTTCTTGGATCCCCCATTTGGTGGGAAATTTGATGATTTGATTATACGTAGATGGGATGGCTTTCATTTCATGCATCCATGGTCTGCATAGAACAATGTTGTAGGATGATAGAGTATTGATCACTAAAAATTTCACCTGCAGATTGATCCCTTTTGCATAGGTGGGCAGTGTAATCTCCCCTATGGTTTTCTTAGTTTCCCCACTGAATCCGACCAGCATTGTTGACTTTTTGATGATGTCTTTCTCGTTAATGTTCATATGTTTCACTGTATCAAGTATGATGATGTTGGCAGAACTTCCATTGTCAACTAGAATCCTCTTGATAAGACAATTTCCAACCGGGAGTGATATTACTAGGCCATCATGGTGCTCTTCCATGGCATCACTTTCTTCAAACACAATCGAGAGGTCTAGCTTTGCTTGTACCTTCTTGGTTGGCTTGTTCATGTTTTTTTCTTTGGCGTTACGCTTTGCTGCTGAGTACGTCAAACCGCACATTTCTGATCCCCCGGAGATGAAATTGATGGTTTTGATGATTGGAGGTAGAGGAGGCGGTCCTCCTTGATTGTATTTTCTTTCTCTTCCTGAAGCTTTAGACCTGTCCGTCATGAGCTCCTTAAGATACCCCTTTTTCAATAGGTAATCGACCTCCTTTATGAGTGCCACACATTCATCGGTAGTGTGACCAATATCTTAATTGAAATCACACCACCTTGATGGATATTTCTTTTCTCCTGGCCTGCCACTCTTTCTGGGTCATTGCACAATGTCTCCCATTTTGTTCAGGGTCCTATTCACACCTACAGAGTTAACATTGAAACAATATTCATGCAATTTAGGGGGGAGTTCAAGATCTTCCCTCCAATCTATAAATTCTCCTTCAACAGAGTTAAATGTTTATTCCTTAAAGCGGGACCGCTGATAAGGCTAGCTTGAATCTATGATCCCTTTTGGCGAAGTTGTTACTCCTTCTTGATGAACGATCTGAATCTAGAGTCTTTCGTGCATAGACGTCCTCTTCAAATTTGACCTGAGCCATTGCTTTGGCTTGAACATCTTCAAAGGTTGTGCAGGGATACTCGGTTAGCTCCTTATAGAGTTCACAATGGTCCAGTAGTCCTCTTCTGAAAGCTTTAATAGTTGTGGGAGCATCGCATTTGTGTATTCTGATCTTCTCCTTGTTGAACCTGTTCAAGTAGTCTCTCAAGGATTCGCTATGCCTTTGCACTACTCTCTACAAATCTGAAGATTGCTTCTCGATCTTTCTGCTGCTAGCGAACTGGATCTTGAATAGGTTGACCATTCCTGCAGAAGATCGAATAGTCCCATTATCCAAATTAATAAACCAAGTTAGGGCTGGACCTAACAGTGTGGCTGCAAAGCCTTTGCACATAATTGCTTCTCTAATGTCCTTGAGGATAGAACTGGTCATCATTTTCTGTTTGTAAAGGGACACGTGCTCATCAGGGTCTGCTGTGCCATCATCCATGGCCATGTTGGGTGTAGTGAACCTTTTTGGCATGTCCACCATAGCGATCTCTTCTGAGAAAGGCGATTCTATGTAGCCATCTGCAGCTTTTTCTTCCTTCCATCGGCTTTGACACTCCAGGAATCTTCGTGATCTTTGCCTCGAAAGCCTTGAGGTACTCCTTGACCACCTTTTCTATCTTTCCCTCCTCAGTTCTTGTTTGCTTACTATTTTGAAAAGTACCTACATCAATAAAACCTTCGTCCAGAGATATATCCCTGTTGTTAGAACCTTTTTTCCCGTTGCCAGGGGTATGGAAAGCTCCTGATAGATCGAGCTGCATGGTTATGCCTTCGGTGTTCTTTCTTGTATTGGCTATTTTGGACGCAACCGAATGTATTTCACTACAAAGGGCTTCGTTTTGTTTGGTTAGGCTGGTGAGTTTGGCCTTAGTTTGGACTTTTTGGGCCAACAGGGTTTCAATCTGGCTTTTCAGTTGGTCTAAGGTTTGGCAGAATGCGTTTATTCCTTCATTGATGTCGGTTATGGTAAAGGGTACTGGGTGTTCAGTAATGATTAGGAGGTGTTCTTTTTTGGAATGTTTTTGGCAGTTAACTGATTGTCAGCCCCACGGTGGGCGCCAAATTGTTTAGGATAAATCTTAGAGGAGTAGTTTCCAAGAATTTGCTTAAGGTTTTGGGGGGTATTAATAATCAATCCTACAATAATAATCAAAATAACAAAGAGCAATAATACAAATAAAAGCTAAACTTTTAATAAAGAAATAAGAGGAAGAATGACAATACTGAGTAAGGATAGCTTCCTTGATCAGAAAAGACACGATTGTTATTAAGTGACATGCAAATATGTTCGAGTATTAGAGTATGAATGTGGCTATACATGAATTTCTAGCTATTTATACCTAGGGATTGCTAGGGTTTACATAGGTTTCCAGAATATATTCAAATGTAGAAGATCTTTGTGGCTTTATTCTTTTTTGTGTTCATGTATTTTTGGTATGACTTCCTTACCGAGTTGCTGATTGATTCTCTTTCCATACTTGTGTCAATCAAGCCATTTAGCTTGATTTCTCCTCCTTTGGCTTCGTATTTGGGTCTCTAGTAGCCCTATTTTTGTGGGCTAATCAGAAATACGGGCCTAATAGGTGGCAACAGGCCAATCCCAAGGCCAGCATGCACTCAGCTTGTTTCTTGTCATATTGGCCATTCAACTTGGGATCAATAGCATCAGTATGCATTCCGTGTTTATGAAATTCCCAAACCCAGTCAATGATGCTTACTCTAAATTCATCGTCTTTTGTCTGAATATCCAACTTTCTACCATAGGCAACCTCCAGCATCAGAACACCAAAGGCGTAAACATCAGTCTTAGTTGTTGATCTCCCTGTTAGAAAAATTTCTGGAGCCATATAACCTGGTGTTCATGAGATATCTTTGCTAGTATGGTGAGTTTTTTCCCCTAATTTAAAGGTTCGAGCCCGCAAGGCCAAAATCTCCTAAACGACCATAAACTCTGCATCCAAAAGCACATTGCTGGTTTTATGTCTCGGTGTAGCACCCTTTTTGAACATTCATTATGAAGATAATCAATCGCTTGGGCCACATCACATATGATAGTATGCCTTGTTCCCTAATTCAGAGTCATTAATCGCCCTATTTCCTGTTAAGAAATACTATGCAAATTCCCTTTAGGATCAGATTAGTGGAATAAAAAATATATATGAGTAATATAAATAAATGAAAAAATATTTGTATCTCTAATTATGCTGCAAAATTTATTGAAAAAGATAAATAATACACAAGTGTTCACAACACTTATTATAACTCACAACCATATGCACCCCAATCACACCCGAGAATTTTGTCTAAAAATTCTCTTAAAGTTTCTCTCTCTACTTTATTTTTTCTATTGTTTTTTGGGATGAATATAACAAATCATAACTTAAGTTTATATAGATCCTATATTTCTAAATATGACTTCTTAAATTTAGAAAACTATTTTCTCCTTCACATTTCGTAGGAAATCAATCACGTATTGCTAAGAAATTCTAAGGCTTATATTTGTTTGTTTTTTTTTTAAATTGTTGTGATCTTAACAATCTACCACTTGAAGACTAATTTTAATTTGTCTTCACACCTCACTTCATCCAGCTCAACTTTCTCGTATGTTACTTATGTAGCCCAACTAAAGTTGAACACAACTTCAGTTTGTCAATAGTCATCGTCTTTGTTAACATATCTGCCGGATTCTCAGTTCCTTTAATTTTCTCAAGTTTTTAACACTTCATCTTCTAATAGAGATGTTATGAAATGATAGTGAAGTCCAATATGCTTAATTCTAGAATGAAATGCTGAATTCTTTGCCAAGTGTATTGCACTTTGACTGTCACTGTACAATACATTATTCTCTTGCTTGAATCCCAACTCAATTAACAAACCTTGAAGCCATATCATCTCCTTACTAGCTTCGGTTACCACTACATATTCAGCCTCTGTAGTGGATAGAGCGACAATCTTTTGTAGTTGCGACATCCAACTAACCATTGTATTTCCAAATGTGAATATATAACCTGTGGTGCTTTTACGACGATCAACTTCTCCTCCAAAGTCTGCATCGACATAACCTTGTACTGTTAAATCACCTTTACCAAAGTATAAGCACTTTTCTGTAGTACCTCGTAGATACCTCAAAATCCACTTCACTTCTTCCCAATGAATTTTTCCTTGATTTGACATAAATCTGCTAACAACTCCCACTGCATGTCCAATATTCGGTCTTGTACAAACCATTGCATACATCAAACTACCAATGGCTGAGGCTTATGGAACCTTAGCCATATAATCTTTATCTTCCTCCGTCCGAGGAGATTAATCCTTGGATAATCGAAAGTGACTTGCCAAGGGTAAACTAGCTGGCTTGGCATCACTCATATTAAATCTCTGTAAAACACGTTTGATGTATTCTGATTTGAGATAATTGCAAAGTACCTTTATGCTTATTGATAAGTGTCATTTATGTCGCTATTTTTAAGAGTTTTCTAGTTAGTTTTTCATAGTTTTTCTATCTTTTTACTTGATTTTAATAACGTTTTACTACATTTGTCATGTTTATGTGTGAAATGTCGTTATTGCTCAATTTTGGCTTTTCTTGCATATTTTGGTGGCTTATGACATTAGATTAAACTTTATTGGTTTACTCTTATGTTTAGGAACACTTGGATAAGTTCATTGCTCAAGATTGAAGAAATATAAAGCATAAAAGAACAAGTAATGAAGAAATGTGCACTTGATTTGCAAAGATCATACTTCAAACGCCTATATCTTTTGATCTACAAAACATTTTGGGGCGATTCCAATTGGAGATGAAATCTTATCTTGAGAGCTTTCCAACGACAGGTCATATGCTCAATTCCGATGTAAAACGTGGGAGATATGCTCATTTGAAGCTGAGCAGTTTGCCCAGTCCGCAGCCAGGAGCGCCCGCTCCTCAAGGCCGTACGCCCGCTCCTCACAGGGTGTGCAATTTTGAAGTTTGGCAGAAGGTTTGGAGCGCCCGCTCCTGAGGGGTGCACGCCCGCTCCTCTACGCGCTGCTCGACTTTTTGCGGAGCTTCCTAGGCAATTTAGTAAGGGCTATAAATAGATTTTTTGCTCATTATAGAAGGGAGAATTCATATTTTCAGTAGTTTTAGGTTTTTAGAGAGAGAAACTCTCAAATTTTGGAGAGAAAAAGTGAGAGAAACAATGGTTTTCATGGATTTTGGATAATCAAAGGAGGAATTTGATGATTTGAAGATCTCCATTTTATATCAATGAGCATTTCTTACTCTCTTCTCTCTTTATGCTTTATTAATTGCTTTGTTAATCATGTTTGAGTAGATTTCCTTCTACTAGGTGTTGAGTGAAGCTTTGTTATGGTTGATTGAGTTATTTGAGATAAATTTGATGATAATTGTGTGATTAAATTGATTGAATTGATGATGGCATGTTGTTTGTTTTAGATTGGATTGATCTCCCAAGATAGCAAACTTAATTGCATGTTAGTTCTAGTTTGACAAGGGATTGTGAATTAGAATTTATATATTTGATTGCATTTTGGGTAAATTTCTTCTATGCACCTAGTCAATGAGGGATCTAGGCTAGGAATTTGAGAGATTGCTCTTGATGGTAATTAATTCCCATTTTAATTCTTTCTTTGCATGATTGATTATCAAATCGATTCCCATTAACTTGTTAATTGTTCAAAGTGGATCTTTTCCCCTAGTAGACTTTGTAATATCTTGATCTTTATATGTGTGTTAGTGTAGTTGTAGTGTCCACTATCCATAAACCGACTTCGGCGTAGCTTAAGCATTAGATCGAGAACAATCCAACATTACCGTTCCTTGTGGTTCGACTCCGAACTTACCACTAGACTTGTTTAGGGGTTAGTTTAGGATTATAATAAATTTTGTTTGGCCGTGAGGAGGTTAGTCAACGACATAATTTCCCCGCGCTCAAAATGGCGCCGTTGCCGGGGAACGGTGTCAATGCTTGATTGTTTTTGATTGCTTGAGTCTAGGTCTTTGTGTATACTTTTCTTTTTATTTTATTTTTTTAATTTTTGCTTGTTTTTGTAAAAAAAATGGCAAGTAACTCGTTTCCTCAATATGACAATGAGCCTTTTTGTGAATATTTCAATAGACTTGAGGGATATTTGGATTTTGATTGTTGTAGTCTTTGGGAGGCTTGTGAGATTTGTTATTTTGGTTTGAATGAGCAAAATAGGGATGAAGTTGAATGCATGCATAATGGTGAATTTAGAGCATTATCAATTGATGATGCTTGGGATTTTTATGTTTGGTTTGCTTGGGATGTCTATAATAAGGGTAATCATGATTCTATTATTGATATGCAATGTGTTGATACTTCTAATATTAGCATGAATTCCCATGATTTGTTACATGATCCCTTAAGTGAACCTAAAACACATGATTTCAACTCTATTTCCTCTTTTGTTCATGATGATGAGGTACATGCTCAAGTTGATGCTAATGGTGTATTTCAATATTCTTCATTATTTACCATGCCTTCTTGTGATGTGCTTCGTTCCCTTAATGATGAATCTCATGTGTTTGATTGTGCCCCCACTCCCCAATGTGATGTATATGCTCATGATCTTAATGTTTATTTTTCCAATCTTGGTTGTACTTCTTCTTCTCTTGTTGAGCCTCAACCTTCAACACCTTTTGAATCCCTTATTGCTACTTTTGAATCTCAAATTAGGTGCATTGAGCTTGATAATGAGCTTGGGCCTAGTAATGAAATGATTCTTAATTCTATGA